TGAAGATGAAAGCAAATCTCTGTCTTGTGATTTTTATCTCAAAAACCAACTCAGGCTTATCAATCGTAAATTAGATTTATTGACTTGCGACACAATTTGTGATAGCAATTTCAGTTTTTTTAACAATCTGGACAATATTCATTGAACTGTGAAATCTTCTGTCCAGTGGGAATTATATTGCATATTGAGTTTTTCCATTTGCATTAGTTTATATTATTTAAAGCAATCAGAGATATTGGCGGTGACGAAATTATAAGTAACATTTAGGATGATCAAAGCAGGGGTGTAGCGGGGGTCTACACTAGTTAGGTGAGGCAAATTTGAATAGGCGAGGCAGAAATCTGGTGTGAGGCCATATAATGGCATCAATTTGACCTAATTTTATGGCATCTCTTGAAAAAATGACTGTACAATAATTTTTTTGATGGAATTTTGTACCTTTATACTTATTATCTGAATATTGGCATGAGAGCATATATTACCTAAAGGCATATAATTTTCACAGTGATTAGAAGCATGGAATTAATTGGTTTTTAATAATAAAGTAAATTGAATTGACATTTACATTTACAAGAACTAATAATTTTGCAGTACACAACTAGACGAGATGCAAGTTGAAATAATCTTGATTTAAGTTGTTTAATATTCAAAATTCAGGCAACGTGATGTCATATTTGAAATCTATGTGTAAGACTAAATCTAGAAATATGGTTTCGAAAATTGTTGATCAACTTTGAAAATTAATTTTTTTAAATGTGACTTCTACTTCGAAAGATTCCCCATAGACCCGATGTTATAAAATCACAAAAAGTGAAATATCTTTTCTTTTGTCTTCTTTTCTTGCTTCAAATGATTCTTGTATACTTTGGTACATATCATTTCTGAAGCTCTGGAATTATTTTCCTCGTTTGCCATATTTAGACTAATTGCCTATTATGAAGTATATTGTTCCACAGCATAGTTATTTTCTAGTCGCATCATGATCATTAATAACCATTCAATTCTATTACTTTTATGAATATTATATATCTTTTTTATATCATAGAGAACTTTTTGAACTGCAGCACATTATCGTTAATGTCCATTGTCACAGAAAAAGGTTGAGCTTTTTAAAAAAAGATTGAGTCCAGATCTAATCTCAGGCTTATTTCTATGAGAAAATCTGAGCATATTTCAAATATTTAAAAAAGCCTCAAAATATAAAAACCATTGTCATTAAAAGAGGCTTATTTTTGTAAGAATTTTTTTATATATTTTGATGGACCTGGACACAAGGTTTTTTTACCTATGAAGTATTTTTCTATTTTATTTTTTTTTTATTTTTTGCAATGGTAGAAATTAATGAGAATATTGGATGCTCCACTCACATATTTCAACCTATACGAGAGATGTTAATAAAATGGGATATTTCCTGATTTATACGGGATTGTCCGACAATGTCATTTGTAATGTGTATTTAATATCACAACATTGTTTCAGTTGATTTATATCAGCAAAGTAACAAGCTGAAATCTGATCATAAAAAACTTGCGTTTGTTTAAAAGGTTCAAAAGTTTAATGCCATGTTTATACAAGATACATTTTATCCAGGGTTTTGAGGTTTATGAGCATATAAATCTTGTAAGTAATAGCACTTATAAAACATGTATATCTGAACACTTCTCTAATCTGAACACCTCTTCAAGTGAACACTTTTGAACTGACCAATCAGAGGGCTTCATCTTACAGATTATACGACAATATAATATATTGACAAGGAGGGGGTCCATATACAGTAAAACCTGTATATATCTCATCACTAATATATCATTCCAATGTTCAAGAAAGAACTGTCTTTACTTGCACAAGTTTATATCGTATGTCATATCATATCACAACAGTTAATTTTAAACACGCAATGCAAGGAACCTGATCAAAATTCAGCTTCTGCAAATCTGGTGCCTCAATTCAGCAATAATAGGGAGTAGGCTGTGTTTAGCTTTCTTAAAAGTCACAATGTTCACTGTTATTACATATAACATCTGCATATAAAAGGCGTCCTCATTTCTAGATTTGTATACAGTAAAACCTGTCTTAGTGAACGCCTCTCTATAGTGAACAATTGCATCTAATGAACACCTCTTCTCAGAATATACTCCGCTGACTGTATAAATTCACCTCTCTGAAGTGAACACATACCTATAGTGAACACATTTTTGTGGCTCCATAGGTGTTCACTGTACACAGGTTTTACCGTAGAATTAAAAATGGGACCCAATAATTCTCATTGAGAGGTGTTTGGGAGAATATCATTGCATTTGAACAATTGTCAAATCTGATGAATGTCTATATTGAGAGGTGTTCCCATTGGGAGGTGTTCAGATTAGAGAGGTGTTCATCCACACAGGTTTTACTGTAATTATTGTGATTTGTTTGGGAGAATATCATTGCATTTGAACAATTGTCAGCTTTCTTAATGAATGTGTATATTAAGAAGTGTTCACATTGGGAAGTGTGCAGATAAGAGAGGTGTTCATCCACGCAGGTTTTACTGTAATTATTGTGATTTGTTTGGGAGAATATCATTGCATTTGAACAATTGTCAAATCTGATGAATGTCTATATTAAGAGGTGTTCACATTGGGATGTGTTCAGATTAGAGAGGTGCTCATCCATACAGGTTTTATTGTAAATATTGTGATTTGTTTGGGAAAATATCATTGCATTTGAACAATTGTCAGATCTGATGAATGTCAGTATTCATTAATAAAACATTGTTATAGCGATAGTCCTGAGAAATTATATTTGCCCATCGACAAATCTGTGTTGATCAGGCGATATTTTACTCTATTACTGTTCATTCAATCAGATCATGACGAGACTGGATGCTCACGGCACTTATCACATCTGATCATTGTGTACAAAATGTAATCAGGTTTTATTCACTTTTTTCTTGACATCAACGATGCCTGATTTATTGTGGGGCTCTTGAGATCATGTGCGAAGACAATTCTAGGTTATTGTCTCATTGTGCAGGAGGATAAAACTGCTAATCTAAAAGAACCGTATACACCATAACTAAACCTTACAGACCATGGCTAAATTGCTATATACCATTACAATCTGTTATAGTCCATGAACAACTTATGTAACAACTTATCTATTCTTCCTTATTACAGTGTACATGATATTTTGAATTTCTTCTGTAAACATCCAGAATCCGTTATAATAATGTTCATTATAGCGCCATGAAATGGAAGTCAGCCAGTCGGGATTATAATGGACACTGGTGTTGACAAAATAAACCCTTCAGTGTGTCTATAACGTGCACTCTATGAATATTATCTACACCACTAATCTATACCAATAGTGATCTCCACAGGATTTTTTCTCAAATGGGTGCAAAATTCTCATTTTCACAATTAAGACCAAAATTGTTTTTTTCATGATTTTTCTCATTTTCAAGTGGGTGCAAATGGATTTTCAGGTGAGTGCAAGCCTATTTTCAAAGTCTCAGGTGGGTGTTGCGCCCACTTGTAATGCTGGGGAGATCACTGACTTTAAGCCTTTGGCAAGTCCCAGTGGTGTTCAGATTAGAAAGGTTCTACTGAATTGGATTTTATATGCTCTTTGCCAAAGAAATTAGCATGGACATGGGGAATAGATAAAGAGTACTTTGGCATGATTTATGTCAGTACTTTTAATATTGAAATTGTTTTCTTCAAAAAAAGAAAAATTGACACGTCCTTTCTTACCAATTATATATTATTTTTTGGTTCATGGCATGGGATCTTAAGGTTCGTTAGTGGATGAGAAATCCGAATCATTTGATTAATCGACCATGAGATCCAATCAATACGCTGTCAATCAGGATGCCGTAAGAGCAATTAGATTTGCCATCTATACCATATTTCCTTGTTTGGGGATCACCACGTCTAACACAATTTTATATTTTTCAAAGGAGTCCACTCCATTTTGGTGTTTGAATAAATATTGATATATTTCAGTGATCTCCGCAGAATTTTTTCTAAAGACGGCTGCAAAATTCTGAATTTCACAATTCAGACCAAAATTGGTCAAAATATGCCCATTTTCATGATTATTCTCATTTTTAAGTGGGTGCAAATGGATTCTCAGGTGGGTGCAAGCCTATTATCAAAATCTAAGGTGGGTGCTGCGCCTACTTGCTTTAATGCTGGGGAGATCACTGTATTTATTACTGTTTCTGAGCGGAAGATGGGGAGGAGTGCAAGACATTCTTTTATGCTTTAGTTTCTGCATAGTTTGTGATATTGGGGTTTTCTTTTTCTTTATGACTGGTTGTGTATAAGATTTGATGTTTCTTACTCTTGTTTTGTTTTACAATATACTATTTTTGTCTTTTCCATTTTTTGGACGCATTGTTTATGTATCTTTTATCTTTCAGTATCAGAAGCAAATGATAGGTGATGATATTTTGCATGTTAATGCCTAAGTTTTGTGGTTATCATAAGAGTTTTGTTGTCAGCCTCTTTTGTCAAAAGAAATTTGATTGGAAAGCTAGGCATACACATACAGTAAAGCCTGTATATCAAAACATTCCTCTAATCTGAACACCTCTCAAAATAAAATAACACTTTTTCAGTCTCATTTTTTAATCTTCCACTACAAAAGAAAGCTATGTTTGTCAATTAAGCTAGAAATGCAAACATCTGCCAGTCCAAACACGTTAAGCATTCGGATAAGGCAGGTTTTACTGTTCTCTTATCTGATTGATGGAATCAGTAGAATTTCATCCACATTTCCTCTCATATATAGTATAGCTTCTGAAAATGTCAATGCAATTTACTAATGCAGTTTGAGACAATAAGATTGTAAAATAATCTGTATTTTCTAACATGTGTTGTATATGCCAGATACTATTAATATGTAGACATGTTTCAGTGTATAAAATGGTAAAATAACAATTAAGTTCGGGATATTTTGTAATGGTTCCAAGTCAAGCTAAAATTCAATTTAGATGAACTTGTTGTTTGTTCCAGATGGTGACCATTCAAAGACCATGATGTGATGGGTTGTCATTCTAGTAAAGCGGCTGGAGTTGTAATCCAAGTTACCGAACCAACAAGAAACACATCTTCTCAAGAGGGAGCTTCACATTTTGTATCATCCCACAGAAAAGACCATAAAAGTAGTACAAATTTGAAGGAACAACACTTGAAAGTCGATATTGTCCATGGACACCAATTTAAACAAGGACTTCAATCGACTGAAAAGGATACCAAGATCATTATTGAGGAAAAAAATACTATTGTAAAAAAATCAGATTTCGAGATCAAATGTAGTGACACTGTTGTTGAAATTATTGATGATAAACCAAAAGTTGAAGAATTTGAACACATATATGAATCCAAGGAAGATGAAATCGTGAATATTGGGGGTAGAACAGAAGAGTTTATATACGTCGGAAGTCAAGAAATTGTTAAAGTTGCAGTAACGGAGACTGACGAAAATATGGTGAAATTCCAGTTCCCAAATGTAACGGATAAAACGTGTCTTCTTGTTGACCCACCTAATTGTGAAGAAAGCCTGGAATTGGGTAAGTGACATTTCAAATACAGTAAAACCTGTCTAATCTGAACAGTACTAGGACAAGTTAAATGCATTCATATAAGCAGCTAGCTACGAGAGTTATCTCCCCAGCATTAAAGCAAGTGGGCGCAGCACCCACCTGAGATTTTGAAAATAGGCTTGCACCCACCTGAAAATCCATTTACATCCACTTGAAATTGAGAAAAATCATGAAAAATTGGCATATATTGACCAGTTTTGGTCTAGATTGTGAAAATGAGAATCTTGCACTCACCCACCTGAGAAAAAATACTGGGGAGATCAATGGTATTCACATTTCAATGTTTCTCATATTGAGAGGTGTTCATGTATACAGGTTTTACTGTAGTGTTACATTAATCATGTAGTCATTCATAATGGTCTATTTCCCTGTCTTTGTGCAATGCATGTACTTGATCAAATCAAATCAGTTTGTATTGAATATACAGCAACTCCATCTTTGAATGGAAATCTTGATATTAGCATTGATTGATTTAGGTTGTTTAGTTTGATTAACATTTTCAAGGTTATTTTCTTGTTAACTGTTAAACAGTTATCAATGGCTATAGCTCAGTGGTAGAGCATTCGTCTGGAAAATAAGGGATCATGGGCTCGATCCCCACTTGGGTCTGACTTTCACACCAGCCCTTAGTGCAGAATTTCATTCTGTGTTTTTATTAACTAATGGTTATAACTATGAATCAAATAGTTAGTATATGTTTCATGTTGTATATCGATATTCACATTTTATGATCACACTACCCTACCTCGATCACGCATGCGCGAATTTTTTGGCTTTCAAACTGGTCGCTTTTGAGTATATCGACTGCTTACTCAAAAGGTTGATACGTTTGGTGCTCGGAGTGAGTCAATATTGCTATTCGCTACACTTCAGTGGTGCAATAGTGAAATCGATGTTCCAAGTTATATGTTAGTTATAGAAAGAATGAAAATAATATCGTTTGAAATTGTAAAATATTTGATATGTCATAGTACACGGTACACAGTTGCAAAAGTTGATCAATACAGGGTACAAGGAATGTAAATTGTTCAAAAGTACAGGGAGCGAGAAAGTAAGCTGATTATACAGACATACTATGTCCCGACCCCATGCATATTTACGTTGCAAACAGTGAAAGTAATGCTAAAAAGACCGCCTGTTGATGCTTTGGGCTGTCATCAATTGTTATTTAATCCAAATAAAGTAAACATTATCATGTATATTTAGACACGGGCTTTGAGGTCGTATGCATTTTAGTCATAAAATTAACAAGAACGCTAGATTATACGTGTTACTAGGGTATCAAATTGAAATAAAATAACGAAATTAAATATTAGATGTTAATGATAAATGACTATCCGCTATCAGTATTAATGACCATCCGCTACTCAGAATAATTAAAATTGCCTGAACTACATGTGAAGAATCTTTCTATATAACCCCTTGAATGGTATAATTCACTACCGTCCTCAAAAACCGATCATTTAAAATGTTTTGTTCAAATTCACAAAAATACAGTTGAATAACATACTAGAAAACGTATCCACCTATAACACGATGACACGCAGTTTAAATGATAGTTAACTGTTTTTTTTGTTACATATAAATGTAACATTTTCGAAGGGAAACTTACATGCTCCCTGTACGTTGATAGATTTACTGAAATGTATCGTATATTGCATTCGAGTTTTGCTTCACTGCGCCCACTATTATCTATCTTTGCCTATAGTGTTTTTTTGCCAACGATATTCTAAAAACTGCTTGATGAATCAATTCTATGTCTGGTAGAACACTAGAAATAAATGTAAAATGTATTTTACGTTCAGAAATATGGAATTAAACCCACGTCCTCCATTTGCAACTTAGCTGTACCCTGTTTCCATTTTAAACGTGGTCACGTGGTAGGGTAGTGTGATGATAGAACTCATGTTTCAGAATCAAAAAAATGTAATAATTGAATGTTGAACATAAAACTTGACCAAAATGTTTGATTTTTTGAAAGTGTGGAACTACCTTAATATATAATTTGCACAGAGAAATTGTGGTGTTTCTCATTAGAAAATCTAAGTAAAGCTCAGCCTCTGATTGACATTCTATAAGAGGTTTAAAAGCTGTCCTGTCAAGTTCTATTATATAGTGGTTGTTGGTGGAGTTAGTAGAGTTGTATGAGTTATTGACTTTAAGGTAACATAATAAGAATTGGTACCAATAATTAATGAAAACGGCACCAATAATTAATGAAAATGGTACCAATAATTAGTGAAAATTGTATCGATGATTAAGGAAAATGGTAAAATATTTCAGTTTCTGCGGATATTTAATGACATGGTTGACTAGATTGTCTAAAATAATTTTTTTTTATAAAATGTTAATATCATTTATTAAATCAGTAACTTGTTTCTTATTAAAGTTTGGAAATGCCATAAATGATACAGCCGAAACAGTTCTTGATCCATGTTAAGTCATAGACAATAACATGATATAGAATTCAAACTAGAACTCCAAATAGATGAAAATAACTCATTTCTCTGTGAATAGATGTCACCCGTGAGCAATGTGTTCATCATATTGGATTTCATAGGCAGCTAATAAAGACTCAAGCTGCATATTGCCTGAAATAGTTAATTAGTAGGAATTTGTAATTTCCCAGTATTATGGGAATCCATTGTATAATAGGCACCATGGGAACACTAATAATAGGCTAGCATTATCCTCTTTGAACCTTGTTAAGAAGTGAATGTCATCAGGATAAAGTACATGTCTTCCTAAGCCAAGTCCTTGATATTGGAGATGGGAATAATTTGGATGCTATGTGTGGATTTTAAATTGGCGGATCTTGGGGGGGGGGCAGCAACACCCCCTTTTGGTGGGCCGAGAAAAAAAATTAGGCCCCAAAAAATAAGTTGGGCCAAAATAGGCCTAAAAAAGGGCCTTTTTGGTTATTTCATTTTTTTAATTTAGGCCAAATTTTGAAGAACATGGGCTTCAAAGTTTCAAAATTTGGGCCCACTTTTTGGTTTTAGGGGCCCAAGGGTGGAAGTTTTTTTCTCAGACCTGAAATTTGTTCCCCCTCCCCCCTTGTTGGTTCCCAGATCCGCCCGTGCACAGTCCCATATTCAGATAAAACTCCCTATGTTATGGATGGTAGCCAATTATCTGCATGGAATAATGAGGTTAGTTTTGTCATGGGGGGGGGTAATATTCAAGTGAACCTCATCAAAATTGTCAAACCATAACAAAATTAACTTTGTTATTCCATAACTGTTGATAATTGGACATCCCCCCCTCCTGTTAATGACGTCGTCACTTCAGGGTGTTGACACGATAGAAAAATTCGACCAGCCACTATCCTGCCATCTTTTGGTCAATCTAGTGACTACACTAACATCAGTAATATTTTTTTTTCACTTATTTATGCAAAAGTACACTTCTGTATCAGCGGCACTCTTTTACAGGTATGACTTCGTAATAAAACATAATATCGCTAAAATTGCATATTTAAAGGATCTGAAATGTTTGTTTCCACTTGTAACATAATCACAGGATGAGTGAAATAATACAATATGGCTGCGAACATTGTAGACGCAGATATAAAATACAATATGACTTAATCCCGTCACTTCATTGAAGATTTTGCGGATCAATAATTTAATCATCCTCGTTACGTGAGATTGTTGCCGGCATGACAGATTTCAATCTATCGGGGATCAGTTATCGCAGATTGGATGTCAGGCTCTTCTTTCAATGATATTTCACGGACGAGTGATGTTTTATTATGTTTTTATGCAGTAATTTCTTCTCAAATGTTTAGAAAATCTTGGATCTGTGAACAGCTCATGTTTGATTTTTCATATTTTTATTGGTCATTAATATACTAATTTTACATAACATTTATACTTTGCGATTAAATGTCACCCTAACCTAAAGATAAATGACATGATTTCTTAACATGAACAGAATCAGAAATTACAAAATGAACATGCTATTGTATCAGTCACGCCTTGCAGCAGTAAAAAATCAATTAAAACCAGATTTGTACAGCTTATGAAAGTTTAATATACAAACTAAACATTATATTTAAAAACGACACCCCCTCCCAAATCTACATCATCACCAATCAGTATAAAGCTATAGAAGTGAACAACAATTAAAGTACTTTAGAATGTTAAAGCTCATCGAGTGGTGTGTCATTTGAATGGGTGTGTCATTTGAATGGGTGTGTCATTTGAATGGATGTGTCATTTGAATGAGTAAAGCACAACATCAATTTAAAGTACTTATCTCTATTGGTTGTGCTCAAAATTCAGATTGCCAAATGATCTCAGTTCTTAGAGGTTAGTACAGAGGTTAAGGGGGGGGGGGGGGCGTTAAGTTAAACACATTTGGGAGAACTTGAATGTAAAATATGTTGTATAATATTATGGCATCCATGAATTTTTGTCTATTTCTCATTTGATATAAATGATGACGTAATTACAACTACTCACACATCCATACTCAATCGGGAAAATAAACGCCAATGGGTCAAAATAGTCTATAGGTTACCATCATTTTATATGTTTTACATACACATTCATAGGCGTAGCCAGGAGGGGGTGCGATGGTGCAATTGCAGCCCCCCCCATAACAAATGAAAATATTACCATAAAATAGAGAAAGGAAGAAAAGAGCTTCAAAATGCTTTTTATTTGAAGCTTCTAGCTCAATTTTGGAGGAAGTCGCATCAATTTTTGTAAAATTCGAAACAAATCTTAACCTTTTTTTGGGTTGCTAATGCCACGATCACCACCCCCCTGACTGAAAACAGAAATCTTTTTGGCGATCGCACCCCCCCTAACTGAAAGCTGGCTACGCCCCTGACATTCTTCCTGTTACCATTAACATTATCTTTTTCTAACCCTGCAGTAACCGGGAAGTCAACATTCCATAAATGATGTTTCTCATTATCCAAAGAGCCATTGATATGATAGCTACTGATTTAATATCAC